CCTCAGACTGAGGAAGTCTCTCGGATGAGAGACGAAACGTTTCTACATTTTTTTGTTGATTTGCTTTGTTTTGTTTTTTTGAATGTCCAGAGGACCAGATTTAACTTTTTTAGATAAATAAAATAAACCATCGCAGCAGTTGCTCTCCGGTGGTGGTGCGCCCGTTTTTATTTCAATTTTATTTAGTTGATTAAATAAAATGAAAATAAAAACTATCCACCACCGTGCACAGTGCGCGGTGGTGGATTCTCCACCAGTGGCGGATTCACCGATGGAGAACCCACCACCGCACTCACTGGTGGAGCGCCCCCATTGTGATTTTTATTTTATTTAGTGGATTAAGTAAAATAAAACCAACTTTTGCAGGGTAATAATAGTTTTGGTTTTCCTGTGACCTATTTACATTATGATAAATGGTACATATACGCTCCTGCTGTTTGGTTATTTTTTCTTGTTGTAAATAATAAATGGTGATTTTTTGTGAAGAGCATCTTGAATTTTTAAGACGTCACGTCGAGTAGTCAACGTGAACTAGACTTTTATCATGTTGAAGTTGACTTTTTAAATTATGTAGTGGTTCAACCCTAGGTTCTGTGTGTGATGGTCAGTTATCATCTGAACAATCATACATCCTCAAGCCAAAGATAAAAAGCCAAGTAGAATATTGAACCGGAAGAGTCAGCCATCCATCCATTATCTTTTACCCGCTTCTTCCATTTTGGGTCACGGAGGTCACCGGTGCCCATGTCCAGCAATCACTGTGTGAGGGGCGGGGTACACCCTGGACGGGTCTCCAGTCCATCACAGGGACACATAGAGACAAACGAGACAAACAACCATTCACTCTCACACCTAGGGACAATTAAAAGTTACCAATCAGCCTAACATGCATGTTTTTGGTCAGTGGGAGGAATCTGGAGTACCCGGAGAAAACCCACGCATGCACAGAGAGAACATGCAAACTCCACCCAGAAAGGCCCCCGGACCGGGATTTGAACTGGCAACCTTCTCGCTGAGAGGCAGCAGCTCTACCAGTTGCGCCACCGTGCTGCCTCAGAAGAGTCATCTTTAGTGAACTACTTCCACACTGTTGATGAAGTTCTACCTGTTTGGTAAGACTTGGCCTACTCCTCGCCTTCCATCTGCTTGGAAGAATCCGTTTTGTAGCTAGCGGCCCGGCACTCATCAAGTGACACATGACACAAATGACACATGACACAATCACTAACTGCAACTAGTCTACGTGAAATTTAATAACTCCCAAGATGTCCTAAAATTGACTAGTTGAATTGTTGATTCAACCCTTAACAGAACCCTGATCTTTTCTTGTTACTTAGACAACATTGCACTATATACAGTAGATATAGCAGGTTTGTATATTTTTTGTGCTGGGCACGTTAATGTGTTATTATCGCCTTAACGCGACCAATGATTAACCGTGACAAATTTTTAAACGTGTTAATGCTGTTAGGTTTTATTCTTCATTTTTAAGTCTGTGGCTCAGTGGCTGGGAACATTTGTCTGTGGGTGTGAACGCACAGACAAACCCATTGGTCGCAGGCAGGGGCAGTCTGGCCATTAAGAGGTTCGGGAGGATTCCTGAACGGCTGGTGGTGATTGGTCCTTTCTTTTTTCTTTTAAAACCCTGCTGCGTCCCCACCCAGCAGCCCTCACGGCCATAGTTGGCAGTCAAACGTCACATGCAAGCAGCCCCTCACAATTTGAAAAAGAAAAAAAAAAAGAGATAGGAGAGCGGGTGGCAATCATGTGGGTGGAGCAGAAAAACTAAGGAAAAAGAAAAGGAAAAAGTTAGTGCAAGATGCAGCCAAATGTGCTAAAATACTAGATATTTTCGGGGGTGGAGGGGCCAAAGTCACATGACTAAAGTCAACCAGGACCGTGATGACAGAACCGAGCAGCAGGGAGACAGCAGGTTAGCAAGCAGTGCCTACATAGACCTATCATCATCCCAGAGTTGGCATATAGTGTGTTTGGGTTTCTGGACTATAATTCAACTATAATTAAAATCAGTCCACACTGACTGACCAGAAAAAGGCATGCTTCTTTATTGCAAAAAGAAAACATATTATATTCAGGAGTCTGTTTTCTGTTCTGTTTCTTCAATAATATAGAGCTATTTTTACCAGCTCAAGAAAAATACATTGCAGTGAGTCATTCATTTACTGTGTATGTGTGTGTGTGTGTGTGTATGTGTGTGTGTGTGTGTGTGTGTATGTGCCTGTAGCGCTTTTTTTTAAATGTTGTATTTGTGTTATAAAACTCTGAATTATTTGCAAAAGTGCTCTAAAATTGATCATTGTTGCTGTTATGTAGACTCATATTCAGGCTGTCGTTTAATACACAATATTATTTTACATTATTATTGTTTAGCATAGGGCTGGATGATATGGACCAAAATTAATATCGAGATATTTTTAAGATAAATCGCGGTATGGTATATATCTCAATACATTTTTATTTTCATAAAGTAATAACACAAATATGTTTCTGAGTCAAAACTTGGTCCCAGTTGCCACACAGGCACATTTATTAACAGCTGTAACTGTACAAACTAAATGTCTAAAAACAAACTATTTACATGTATTAAAGTTTGTTTTATTAGACATGTATTTACATATATTAAATAATCCTCTTGAGCGGCGCTGCCTTCATGACGTTAGTAAGCGTGTATGAAGCAGCACGTGAGGGGCTGTGTTTATTCAGTGAGGGAGGAGGGGTCGCGTGAAGGTGGCGGCACAGACGGACAGAAAAGAAGAACTACACAGATATTCATGTCTTACAGTGAGAGGTAGCACAATAAAGCAGTGGCTTATCATATTGCTAGCAGCTAACAAGATGGATAACTTTAGCCGTCTTGTTCCACAGTTAGCCCTGACGTCACAGCGGAAAAAGTCGGGGGGTGGGCGTGTCAAATAGATTTACTGTCTATTTAAAAAACAACATTGACAGAAAAAAAAGTCCTAAAGTATGGCATTTGTTTATCTTTCCTGTTGTACTGTGACTCCACTTTCCAGGGAGCCTACATACTTCAAAATGGTGAAATATCTCTTTAAAGTTAATGACATGCATGAAACATGTACCTACCGTAGAGGCCTTTCCTGAAAGGATTTACAATGGAGAGGTCATTGCAGGGGCTGCCACCAATCATCAAATCAAATGGACCCCAATCGCTGATCTAAACCGTAAAAAAGGGACAATGAGCTATTTGTCTGAGTGATATTTTACTGACAGAACAACAAGAGTTAGAACTTTCAGCTTTTAACTTTGCATTTTCACAAACACATGGATTCATCTGGTTGTGATGCTGTTCTTGTTTAGATTTGTCTAAATAGGTGAATGTACACAGCATCTAACAATCAATTTAGACCCTGTCAACACTACTTTAACATTATTTATTTATTTATATTTCAGCTGCTCCCTTCTTCAGGGGAAGTCACATATGCAATTGACAATAGTTTACGACGACTTTCCTGGCACAACCTGGTTTGGAACCCAAAGCCTCAGGATTATGGGACCACTATGTGGGCACTGACCATGAGCTAAAGATTTTCCCCATTCCCGTTTTGTTCCTTTGATACCTTTAACAATTATCCTTCAAAGACAATCAAAATTTATTGATGACAGAATCAGAATATAGCAAGTCAGAACCAGAACAAACCGGTCAAAGCAGCTCCATATTTGGTACAAAGTGATCATAGGGATGTGACTGCTGCATCACTTCAGAAAAACTTTGTGCTGAGAGTGTTAAAGTTACTGATGATACAACAGACGAGAAAACGTGCAATATAACTCTGTACACCAAAGAATCACCAACAGATGCAGAAATATTCATGACAGAATGTTTTGGCTCAGCGATAATAGACACTGCTTGTACTAGGACAGTTTGTGGACGAGAGTGGCTGGACAACTATAGTACTGTGTTACAAAAGAAAAGTGTGAAGACGATGAAAGAGACAGAAACACAAAGTCACAGGCCCTTTAAGTTTGGAGATGGAAGAGTCGTCCACTCCATTAAAAAGGTAAGGATACCTGCTAAGATCGGCAACAAAAAGTGTAATATAGAAACTGAAGTGGTACCTGCTAACATTCCACTGCTTCTGAGCAAAACATCATTAAAAAGGGCTGGGACCGTTTTGGACATGGAAAGGGACAGTGCAGTGATGTTCAACCAGCCTGTCAAACTGGACTTTACTAGCTCTGGTCATTACTGTGTGAACATTGTGGACAGTGAAAATAAAAATCCTACTCTCTCTGATAAGCTATTAGATACTACTGAGGAAGAAATTCTGACTACAACAGACAAGATGAACACAAGTGAAAAGATGAAAGTTTTAGAGAAACTTCATAAACTGTTTGGGCACGCCTCTGCTGATAAAATACAAAGACTTTTGACTACTTCTGGCAATAAGGACACAGAATGCAACAATCTGATGAAAAAGATTGTGAACCAGTGTGAAGTGTGTCAGAAATATTGTAAGACCAAACCAAAGCCTGCTGTCGGTTTACCATTGGCATCTACATATAATGAGACAGTTGCTGTAGATCTGCATGAGCTTGAACCTGGGGTGTGGTACCTACATATCATTGATCAGTTCACCCGTTTCAGTGCTGGTAGTGTCTTAACCACCAAGAGATCTTCTGAAATAGTCAAACGTTTTATCCATGATTGGATCAGTGTGCATGGCCCACCACAAAAGTTGTTCAGTGACAACGGTGGTGAGTTTAATAACGAGGAAGTGAGAGACATGGCCGAAAACTTTAATACTGAAGTTAAAACAACACCTGCTTACAGCCCGTGGAGTAATGGACTGTTAGAGCGCCATAATCAAACTCTGACTGAGATTCTAATGAAAGTTAAAACGAGTACTGGATGTGACTGGAGCACTGCCATGGACTGGGCTCTGATGGCAAAGAACTCTATGCAAAGTGTCCATGGATTGAGCCCACATCAGCTGGTGTTCGGGCAGAATCCCAACCTACCCTCTGTATTAATCGACAAAGCCCCAGCTCTAGAGGGCACCACCAAGAGTGAATGGGTTGCCAAACACATTTCAGCCCTACATGCTGCAAGAAAGGCTTTTACAGAAGCAGAATGTTCAGAAAAGATACGCAGAGCACTAAAGAAACAACTGCGACCTACAGATGAGCGATATGAAACTGGAGACAAAGTCTTTTACAAACAAGTGACCTGTCCAGAATGGAAAGGACCAGGAGTGGTCATTGGTCAAGATGGTGCAGTCGTTTTTGTTAGACATGGAGGCACCTGTGTCAGAGTGCACCAGCTCAGATTAAGGAAAGTTACTCAGGAGCATGAAGAACCTCAGCTTACCTGCAGTGAGGAGAACAATCAAGGACAACATACAGTGGACATCAATGAAGAGGGAGTAGGAGACACTAACGCAGTAAATTCTGAGAATGATCCTTCGCCTGCTCCTGAAAATGGCTGAGAGACAGCACACTGAGAACACCATCATAAAGACAGGTCAAATTGTGACATTCAGAAATACAGAAGGTGTCTCACAAAAAGCAAAAGTGTTGGGACGTGCCGGCAAAGCAACTGGGAAATACAAGAACTGGTTTAACTTGGAGCTGCTTGAGCCTGTAGAAGTGGCTGGCAACAGTGAATCAGCTGATCTGTCACAGTTGGAGGATCTTCATGTCCAAGCAAATGTTCATGATACGGATACACACGAGGATGTTTTCGTGATTAAGGACATGTCGTTTGATGAAGCAAAGGAAAAGGAAATAAAAAGCTGGAAACAGAATCAAGTGTTTGAAGAAATTGAGGACAAAGGACAAAAGTGTGTCTCCACTCGTTGGGTGCACACTGAAAGAGAGTGAACATGGATTAGCACCAAAAGCAAGGCTTGTTGCACGAGGACTTGAGGAGCTACAAGTTTCTGATCTACAAAAGGACTCACCAACCTGTGCTTCAGAGTCACTGAGACTCCTGCTGGCAGTTATATGTCAAACAATGGAACCTTCACTCAATGGACATTAAATCTGCCTTCTTACAAGGAATGGAACTGTCCAGAGACATTTTTATCAAACCTCCCTCAGAGGCCAATAGCACAGGCATGCTTTGGAAACTGAGAGAATGTGTGTATGGATTAGCTGATGCCTCACTGTATTGGTGTAACAGGGTAAAAAACATCATGATTGAAACATCATGTCTAAGGTCGACCCTGCAGTTTTCTACTGGCTGGATGAGGGCGAGCATGTAACTGGTGTACTTGCTTGTCATGTTGATGGTTTTATATGGGATGGATCACATATGTTTTCAGAGTCAGTCATACCTCACCTCAGGTCAAAGTTTAATGTCGGTCGTGAAGCGCATAATAGTTTTTCCTATGTGGGTGTGGATCTTGTTGCTAAGGGTAAGAAGGTACACATGCACCAAGACACATACATTCAGCACCTGCAGCCCCTACACCTCTCACCCTCACGAGCAGCAGAGTCAGCTTCACCCCTCACTGAAAAGGAGAGAGAGCAGCTCAGATCGAAGATAGGCCAACTTGTGTGGGTTGTGATACAGAGCAGGCCTGATGTCATGTTTGATGCTAGTAATTTAGCATCTGGTCTCAAACAGGCTACAGTACAGACCATCAATGAAGCTAACAGAGTTGTGTGTAAACTCAAGACCAAGTCAGTTGAACTGAGTTTTCAACACCTGGGAGAAAACAGTAACTTAAAGATGGTTACATTCACAGATGCATCTTTTGGGAATCTTTCAGATGGGGGCACTCAGGGTGGGCACCTCATTGTTTTAATGGGTGACAATGGGTAGTTCTCTCCCATTTCATGGCAGTCAAAGAGAATTAAGAGAATTGTTAGAAGCACACTTGCAGGTGAAACACTAGCTATGTCTGAAGGGATTGATAATGCAATTTTTCTTTCCACACTGTTTTCTGAACTCAATGCTGGTAGTACTGCTTGTCCTCCACCAATAGTCTGTGTCTCTGATAATTTCTCTCTTGTACTTCAGTCAACAAAGTTTGTTGCAGAGAAAAGGCTTCGCTTGGAAATCAGTTCGATTAAAGAACTGATTCAAACTATGAAAGTTCATCAAGTGTTGTGGTCTCAAACAAAAGACCAACTCGTAGACTGTTTAACAAAAAGGAGCATCTACAACCTCACTACTTACGGCTCTTTATGAAGGACGATGGATTGTTCAATAAATTAATTCACCAGTTGTTTCACACTCCATGTTGAAACTGTTCTAACAAAATCCTTAGTGGCTGTGCTTTACCATGAGTCTTATACAAGCATTTAGCACTAGAAGTCCCAGAGAAGGGTCATTTAACATTTCTACCTTTGGAACCCAGAGACGGGTCGAGTGACCTGAAGGATTTTAGCTAACATCCTATAATGAGCTGTTAACAGGCGCTTTTGTTTTGTAAATAAGGCCATTACTGGTGCACCACAGGAGGGGGCACGCTTAACTCCCAACTAACTGTTTTCCATTGAGTTTAGCCATTTAGTTTCTAGTTAGTTATATTCAGTTTATTGTATTTTATAATTTGAAGATTTTTTATATATATATTGGTGGCACGTTGTTGCACATTTTGAACAAATTGAAGTCGATTTACCGTTTATTTTTCAATTGGTTTGGCTCATTTCTTGAAACCGAGATGACATTCTCAAAACACCATGTGAAACACAACTCAAGAGACTTTGCATTTTGAGGTTACTGACAATTTGTATGAAACACATATTTTGTTTTGATATATATAGTATTTAGCTTAGTTTTGAGCAAAAAAGGACAGACCATAAGCAATTGTGTGTAAGTCAAGAGGACTAAAACTTCAGCATGAGAAATATAAAAAACAACAACCGTTATTTGTTTCCATGCTTTTTATTTTTGTCATAAAAATACAAGGGATAAAACAATTCTACACATATTTACACTATGCTCTAGTGGGGGGGCTGCGTGTGTGTGAGTGGCATGTCCTCCTTGTGTGACTGGCATTTCAGCACTCACTCAGCAGTCCATCTGCACTGTCGAAACATACCTGGCACTGCCAGGGTATGTCCCTGGTACATTTGCCACATGTGTATTTGTAGCAGTTGACGCATCTCACAGTTGCACAATTGTTCGTGCATCGATGTTTGATCTGACACTTTGCCCTTTTGCCTGGGCTGGGTGTGGAAGGTTGTTGCTGAAGCAGTTTCTCCTTGCGTGCCTTCTTCTCACAATTAATTTGGTTTTTTTTTTCGAAACTGTCATTTTGAACCCACTTCTCTTTTTTTCTGAAAGAAAAACATTACTAAAATCTTTTAGAAAAACTTTTGCATATATCTTGAAACAGATTGTATGTTTTGCAAACTTTTGTTTTGTTTTGTTCATTTGGCAAAATGACCTGGATAATGTATCTCTCCCAAAACACTTCATGTATGCTTCAAAACAAAATATGTGGTTCATACAAATTGTCAGTAACCTCAAAATGCAAAGTCTCTTGAGTTGTGTTTCACATGGTGTTTTGAGAATGTCATCTCGGTTTCAAGAAATGAGCCAAACCAATTGAAAAATAAACGGTAAATCGACTTCAATTTGTTCAAAATGTGCACCAACGTGCCACCAAGAGATATAAGTTCAAAATATAACCAGTTGATTTTGCATCTGTTTGGAGTATTAGACAGACGTTTGTGTGAGTTCAGCTTATCTCTCCCCTGCTGATTCCTAAGGCAATGGCCACATTTACAAATGAAAGGACGCTAATTGGAGCCATCAGAGTTGTCCAGTTTGGAGCACTACTTTGACTAAGGCTGCGCTTTTTTGCGCAAGTGAACCTGGCTTCTAAATCCCCCGCTCCCTGGATTGGACATTGGAATGCAGTCTGGTGAGGTGGGTGTGTCTGAGTTACTTGTGTGCATATTTAAAACAAATGGCAGTTAATGGCCCGCAAATTGTTGAGGAGAAGGAGGGGGTTTGTCCTCAGGATCTTGAAAATCTAGTCACTCTAGTGCTAAGGGTCTTTTGACCCTTTTTCAGGACTTCTGGGGGGAGGTCGAAATTCCTGGGACTTCTAGTGTTAGGGCTGCAACAACGAATCGATAAAATCGATGATTAAAAGCGTTGGCAACGAATTTCATTATCGATTCGGTGCATCGTGCGATTATGCGTCTTTCACGGCGCTGCAGAGCCGTTTTGTTCACGGGCAGTTCATTGTCAATGCTGCCTGACTGAATAAAGTTTGAAAAAAAAACCAAACTCTGCAGCGCGAGTTGAACAGAGTGAGGGGGGAGGAGGAAGCAGAGCAGAGGCTGTTTTCAAATGAAATTAAGTAAATTTTACAAATGACTGACGCAGAGAAAACTGTTCGACTCAAGTCCTTAAAAGAGTGGGAGAACTTCACAAAGATAAAAAAAAAAGAGAAACATGCAGCTTTGAAATGTGACGACACGACACGAGAGAACCACGGAGATAAAACGTAAACATGTGGGAGTCACGAGGAGGAGGAAGGAGCTGATACAACTCTTCATGTGTTGCAGGTGAGTCTCTACAATATTCAACATTTGTTTCATTTCAAGAGAGAAAACGTAACGTCTGTCTGTCTGGGAGATGAAGCTGCTTGTTTGTTTATCTGATTAATGACGGTGATGGAGAACGTGTGTAATATATTATATTATCTTTATATTTAATTTAATTGGTACAAGCAGTGTTTAAATGTGATTTATAAATAAATCTAACACAAAGATAATAATTTAATGATTAAGCTTCAACTTTTAATTTGCTGGCAAAGTCTGAAGCCACTGCAGGTATGGCAGGATGAATTGCATTTAAACAGGAATTAAAGTAATTTATTACATCTACTCAAATGTGTGGAATTAAGTATTTTATATATATGTGTGTGTGTGTGTGTTTAATTACTCTTTTAGCTACTTTTGCCTGAACCTAACGCTGTAAGTGAAACAAGGCATTTCTTGAGTTGCTGTAAATTATGATATAAAACATATTTACTCTCTCATTCCAGAAAACAACAACAACAAACAACAACATCCTTCATGATGGACAGACATCATGGACACCACAGCAGCAGCTGTCTTCACTGAAACATCCTGAACATGATCGTCACTGACACGAGGCCTCTGTCCATGGTTGAAGACGAAGGCTTCACTACAATAATCCACACTTTTAATCCAGGTTACAATAATCCACACTTTTAATCCAGGTTACAATGATCCACACTTTTAATCCAGGTTACACTCTTCCCTCAAGGACACATTTTACAAAGTAGCTACATACTGTGCAGGTATAAAGATACATTTGTATATATTTTTGTGTACATTTATTTTTTTAAGCTATGTAACTAACTTTTATTTTTTATTATTCAATATTTTACTAACAAAATAGTAAAATAGCAACCTGTTTTTTGTGTGAATTGCTATGTCAGTCAAATGTTCAATTTTGGAATAAAGGGGTGGAAATTAAAACGTTGTTTTTGTCGATGAATCAAAAAAATCTGCAGATGAATCGATTATTGAAATAATCGTTAGTTGCAGCCCTACAAGCATTACATTTTTCTTTTATTTTTAACTTTAAGAAAATTGGGAGATTGTTACTCCCTTTTTGTTTTGATTGCATGCCAATCCGCTAGGGGGCACTATCATGCCAGTAGCACATGCTATGGGGTTTTACACTCTTCTTTGTTGGTGTGTGCGGCGGAGATGAGGATCGCGGAATAAAGTTGATCAGATCCAAAAGGAGAAGTTATTTTTATTGACTAACACTGTGATGAAGACCTGCTGATTGTTCCCTGACAGAACTGAAAACTAAAGGAGACAGATCCTTTTCTGCTGTGGCTCCCAGACTCTGGAAGTCCCTTCCTCAAACTCTCAGATCAGTGGACTCAGTGGCTTCCTTTAAAGGCCAGCTAAAAACTCATCTTTTTTACTTACTTACACAAAGATGAAAATGCTATCTGTTTGCCAGTCTGTCTGACAGAAAAGGAAAATCTAGATGAGCGTAAACGTACGTGTTCCTGGGTGATGAGTCGAACGTCACCAACATGGACAATCTTTCCGTCGTGGTTGATGGTTGACACAGTGATGGAATCCTCACAAACCTCAGAGGCAAAATATTTATCTACTTTGAAGCCAAGGTCCTTCAGCACCAAGTAGCCTAAAGAAACACAGATACACAGAATGTGACAAGCATAGATGAAAAACTAGGAAATCACTTTTTTTCAAGGCGACACATTAAACCCCATAGTCCTAAATTGACAAACTTCCCTAAAATCTCTATGAAATGTTCAAGACATGTTTTGGTCGGATTAAAACAGGACAAACGTTTCTTGTTTGGGTCAAGCACCCATGAGACTGTGTAACGCTTGCTGGTTAGGAAACGCAGTCACTGATATGAGACGTCTAGTTAGAATATTGAAGGCACAAACACTTTCTAGGATTAATTTTATTATTCACAATATATACAAATGCACAGCAGAATTATTATTCAAGCATAAACTGGACCGTGTGGTTCTAAACAAAGCAAGAAAATATTAGTGGTGCCTAATTTGGTGTATAAATTCTACAAATAATGCAATACTCAAACAAATTAAAACTTTCACATTGAAAACACAACACATATTAATTACACTGTCAAGGCAAAGATTTACAGTATCAATAATATTACCTGGTAACAAACATACAACTCTACATAGACACTATTGCCTAATAAATGCTTGGAAGCTTACAAAATCTATTTGAGGTTGATAACTACAATGTAAATGGACTGTACGTGTACAACACCTTTCTATGAAGCTACTCAAAGCTCTTTACAACAATCTGTGCCCTCGTTTACTTCCACACACATTCATATCTACTACATCTCTACAAAGATCATCTGAATTTGTAGAGACTAATCAGAGTTTTATCACATTCAGACACTGATGGGACACATCGGAGGCAACGAGGGGTTCAGTTTCTTGTCCAGAGACACTTCAATGTGTAACTGCTGGTGGAATTGAACCCCCAACTCTCCCACTGGAGGACTACTACTCTAACCACTCAGCCACAGCCGCCCATCATTTAATATTCTCAGTCCAACAACACATTACTTAATCATGTTTAGTCACAGTCAGAGTTTCTTTATTGTCATTCGCACCTCATGTGGTACATGTGGTGGAGCGAAATTATGTACACAGGGTCCCAGTTACATCCAACAATAAAATGTAAAAGAAAAACAGTAATAACATCTAAGATATGAACTAAGAAAAACATCAACTAAATATACACTAAGCACTCATAACATAAAACATTGAACATCAGCACAAACATGAACATGAGTCTGTGAGCAGATGTGCACGCATGAACACATCAACATTGAAACAGATCAGCAGCAACATGAAACAGATCAGCAGCAACATGAAACAGATCAGCAGCAACATGAAACAGATCAGCAGCAACATGA